ACCCCCTGCCCCTCCTCCTTCGCTCTCCAGGACGGCTCTCGGTAGTTTCCAGGCCCTCACTTCCGCACCCCGCCCCGGTCCTGTCTGGACCAATAGACGAGAGGTTACGGGTCTGGCGTCGGGGTTGAAAGCCAATGAGCGCTGGAGGGCGGGGCGAACGGCGGCGGCCGGCGTGGCAGCGGCCTCGACTGGTCAGGAGCAGTTTTCTGTATGTGTGACCGTTGCTGGCGGTACAGACTGTTGTTGTGGAGTGTCTGATTGCATCCTGTGATGCCGCGCATTCGGTACAGCGTTCCTCCGCTCCAACCATACCTCTTTTCGTTAAACCCACAGAATCGCCCTACCAGATGGGACCAAAGTAAGTCAGTGTTTAGATTGCAAAAAATGAGGAAGCCCCCTCTGCCTCAGAATGATGGATCTGGGTAGGCCAGATCTCGACCATTAGGGGTGCGGAACGCTGAATTTAATTCAGGACTTTCGAAGTAATTTTTGACTTAATTTCCTTTAACTGGAAGTTGAAAAGTTTGTTCTGACATCCTGACCAGCACTTACCCGCCCACTTAACTTCCTAGTACCTCCACCCTCGCCACGCCACCCCAGTCTGTAGCACGTTTCTACTAATAATTTTTTTATTCCCAAGAAGGAGAAGAAAGAAAGAGAATGTTTATGACTGTTGCTCTGAAAAGAGGCTGTGTATCCTTGGATAAGCTACTCCATCTCAAACCCCAGTTTAATCAGTAAAATGTCTATAATAGTGCCTACTTCGTGGCTAATGATTCCAAGCTTAGTTACAAAGCAAACATTCACAGATAAGAGCTGCTCTTAACTACTCCGTTACTACATATCATTCCCAGTAACTACACCTCCCGAAGTCAACTTGACCCTCTGCAGTCCTTTTGAACACCTGCTCTAACCCTTAATCTCTTCAAATGCCTAAATTACAATAATTCAAACTTTATAGAAATTTTTTGAATTCCAAAAAATCAATAATCCAAAATAGCCTACATTTTGACATGAACATGTTTTCAAAACGCTTTTCCTTAGTGACTTGTATTTTTTGCTTCAACTTGTTTACTATATCCCTATATTCCCTTCTTTATTATTATTCCTATTTTCTTTATTAAAATTTCCATTTGCAAATGAAAAGATATATATTTTTCTAGAAACAATTACTGAATACTTGTTTTCTACTACAATAACAAACAGAACGCTTGCTAAATACTGCAAACTAAAAATTTACTTTAAAAATACCTATAAAAGACTATTTAAAAGTCATCTTTACCCTAGTTGATGAGTAGTAATCCTGTAATTGGGGATCACAGGTGCCAGTAATTTGGGATTTTGCTTGGGGACCACGTCTTGGATATGTGCAGTTTGAAGTTCTGACCTCTGCCCAAGACTTGGGTGGGATCGGGATGGGGACCACCAAATGTCAAGTGGGAGGAGCATAGGGACAGAACCTGATCTATGATCCCCAATCCCCAGCTTGATTTATTCATTTTGTCAGCTTCCAACTCATCACTTAAACTCTCCCTGTTCAAAGCCTAGATAGGCATCCTTGTTCTGAGTTCTCCAGCTAGGTATGAGTTTTGTCCACTGACTTCCCATGCCTGCCTGGGAAGTGGGGCAGACCTTGCAAACACAACTCAGCATTTCCAGATTTTGCCAAACTCAGTTCCCTGGCTTTTTGCTTAAGGGTTGGCTTTTTCCTTAGCACAATCTTAGACCTGCTGTTCTGACTTGGACATTAATGGCTTTTTATTGATGAGTAGCTGTTCATGGTTGAATAAAGATCATAAAATCACATTCATTTCTTGATCAAGCAAGACAAAGCCTTGCAGCTCATATAGTGGATTTTGAACAGATACATTTGAAAGCAAAGGATTATCTGGTGATAATTTTAACGAATTGTTTTATTGATCTTTCTCTTCTAGAGAATTTTGCTTGCCTTCAAAATAATACATTTTAATATTCTGGAGAATCATTTTATTTTTTCTTTTGGGGGGGAGGTAATTAGACTTTTTTTTTTAGTTGAGGTACTGGGGATTGAATCTAGGACCTTGTGCATGCTAAGCAGACACATTACCAGTGAGCTATAACCTCCCCCTATTTTTTAATATCCATAATCACCATTTAATATTTAGGATCAATCCCTGAAACTGCTTATTTTTTATTTTTTATTGAAGTATAGTTGATGTACAACATTCTGTTAGTTTCAGGTGTACAACATAGTGATTTGACAATCAAGTACATTATGAAATAATTACAACAATAAGTCTAGTAGCCAACTGTCAGCATACAAAATTATTACAGTATTATTGACTATATTCCTGATGCTGTATTATATCCCGATGACTTTTTTATTTTATAACTGAAGGTTTGTACCACTTAATCCCCTTCACCTAGTTCTCCCAACCCCCAACCCTCTCCTCCCTTCTGGCAAACACCAATTTGTTCTCTGTACCTATAAATCTGTCTGTTTTGTTTGTTCATTTGTTTTTTTAGATTCCACATATAAATGAAAACATACAGTATTTGTCTTTCCGTTTGACTCAGTTCACTTAGCATAATACCTTCTAGGTCTATCCACGCGGTTGCAGATGGCAAGATTTTATTCTTTTTTATAGCTGAGTAGTATTCTATTATGTGTGTGTATGTGTGTGTATATATATATGTGTATGTGTGTGTATATATATGTGTGTGTATGTGTATATATATATACATACATATATATATATATGTATATATATATACACATATATATATATATCACATCTTCTTTATCCATTCATTTATTGATGGACATCTAGGTTGCTTCCATATTTTGACTGTTGTAAATAATGCTGCATTGAACATAGGGGTGCATATATCTTTTCTGAAACAGCTTTTTAATTTATTTTCTGTTAAAAGAAAATTAACTTTGTATGAAGCATTTAAATAAATATTTTTCACCATAATTATTACTATAGCATATCTTCAATTTGTAGTAATTTTTATTGCTAAATACAGGCAGATCCATGTTTAAGGACAATTTAGTTAATCAAGCCCCTTCAGAAAAGGCCTGGATAGGAATTGAAAAAAAATCCATATCTTTTATTAGAAATGGAATCAAATAAAAAAATGGGTTGAACTCTTCACTCCTATGTTCCAGTAGTGAGGTTCAGTAATGTAATACTTTTTGGCTACTGTCCACGTTGTTATTAGAGCTGTAATATAGTTCAGCTATATTTTGAGTTAAGTAGACTTGATCTGAGCAGGTCTGGCAATCTAATGCCATTTATTATTTTTAAGGGTAAATGTGTTGAGATTCATATAACCACTCAACAGTTTATAGAATGATTTATCTTGTATATGAATTGAAAACTTAAAAATAAAACAACACTGAACCAGCAATGAAAGCCTAATCTATTTAGCAACAGCATGATGGACATTGTGGCAACAGCATGATGGACATTGTGGCTTTGATCTTGAACAAGTTTGAACCCTAGTTTTCTTATCTACAAAATTAGGTTAATAATTCCTGCCTTGTGGGTTTATTTTGCAAAGTAAATAACATAACATATGTGGAAATGTGTTGGAAACAAAGCGGTAAAATCAATGAAAGCTTTTAGGTGTATAGGTTTATCATCTTCAAGTCCATAGACTCTTCTTTTAGCTCACAACAAGGAATAGTGCTTCCAGGGAAAACAGAGGTGAATTTTCTGTCATCAGCAACCAGAAAGAGATCTATTTATTAGTAACACATTAGGGGGAAAAAAGAGGGAACACTCAGCTTTGAAACTATGCTTTGAGTACACCTCCCACCCCCACCCCACCTCTTTTGCCTCCTTTGCTTTAAAGACAGGGTAAAAGAGCAGCTGTTAGAACAAAAACGCCTGCAACACTACCCTTTCCTCTCCATACTTTTTCTCAATACTCATGGTATATTTTTCTCATAATAGTATCTGTTGCCAAATTTTGTCCATTTTTTCCTTCTCAATGTCTATTATTTTAACAAGCCAGGATTATCATAATGATCTTCGATCCTCTAAATAAGCTCTGTACTTCACTGCATGATTAATAGAAATATTTTCCAAGCACGTACTTCTTCATGCTAACTCTCCTGTTCAAAATAGAGACTTGCTGTCATCCATTAATTCAAATTCACTTAGGAGGATACGTGTCTTGATTGTTGCTTTTAATCTCTTAATTTCAAACTGTTGCTCTTGGATCCTTCTGTGACCACCTCTGGCCCTTTAAAATATTAGACACAGCAATTCTTGCTAAAGGCATGTATAATGTATATATCATAATGTACATATCATACAGTGAAAATTACTCACCTCCTCACAATGGAATATATATTTCTTGCTTTAATTTTTATTTGAAATTAAATCCTTTATAAATGAGAACTAAATCTATGTTATAATCATGCTAGAAAATTTCAGTATAAAAAACTTAATTTGTTTATTTCTCTCTTCCTAGGGAGAACTTATATGTATAAATGATCATCTGCTTAAATATATAAATTAAAGAAAAGCCAAAGGAAAATACTCTTGCCACATAGCCAGACACACTCATAAGTATCTTTCTCAAAAGGAGTTATTTTTTCTGCTCTTAGGCACTAAGCCTGTTACCATGGCTACCATAACTAGTGGTCTTTAACTGGGTGTGAATTTCAGACACTGTTATTTGAAATGTTAAGGCAGTAAGTCAGGATAAAGTACAATTT